AGTTTCGGGGCGAGCACATTTTGTTTTGGTGAGGGAGGCAAAAAATGAACCACTTACACTTCAGAATCAGAATCAGAAGCAGATTTATTGCCAGGTATAGTTCCCACAATACAAGGAATCCTGTGCGTTGTTCATGAGGCTGGTGGCAGACGGAAAGAAACTGTTCTTGTGGCGTGAGGTTCTGGTCCTGATGGACTGAAGCCTCCTGCCAGAGAGAGTGTTTGAAAGAGTTTGTGTCCAGGGTGGGAGGGGTCGGATACAGTCTTACCTGCACGCCTCAGAGTCCTGGAGGCGTGCAGGTCCTGGAGAGAAAGCAGATTGCAGCCAATCACCTTCTCAGCCGAGCGGATGATATGCTGCAGTCTGGCCTTGACCTTGTCCACTTTATTTATTTCCTGCATGCTCACCTGAAAGCTGTGATAACATAAAAAGGCCCAATAGTATTTCATATTTGTTAGTTTGAGACAGTTAACGGTTGTTCTTGTAGCACCTCACGAGCCAGAGTGGATAGATGTCTCCATTGCATTTAACAAGCTGCTAATATTTTAATAATTCATGTAATTAATTAGATGTCTAATCATAGTACTATGGGTTGTGCTAAAGTGTTGCCCTGTTGCTTTTTCTCTTATCTCTCTGCTGTGTCACATCACATGAAGCTGTTTTATTTCAGTTGTTTATATTTTTATTAGCTTTTTAGGAGATTAGTAGATTATTAGTTTGAACTGATTACAAGCAATAACGTTAGTGAATGATTGTGTGGGATTCAACTGATTAACTAAGAGTGATTATCTAATAACATGAGTTAATAACTGCAGTATAGGTAACATTTTTAAATTAATAACTTTAATCTTAACTTTTCTGTCAACAGTCAGTAAAGAAATATCCGTGCAGACATTGTGAGCAGTCTTTCAACTCGGCAGTCAGTCTGAGGAGACACATTCGCAGCGACCATGATGGGAAAAAGAGAATTTACACGTGTTGGTAAGATTTGACATCTGAAAATGTGCAACACGCTGTGGTCACAATGGTTTCTTAATTTTTTAAAAAGTATTTCTTTGTTTCCCCACATGTTAGGTATTGCACAGACACCAAGAAAATATTCACAACAAGTGTGACGTTGAAGAACCACATCAGTCTTATGCATGGAATTAAAAATCCTGATCTTGGCCAAATGCCAAAAACGTCGATCCAGGAATACAAAAGAGCTAGGGGAAAGGTAGGCACTTGTTGTTTCGTAAAATAGCCGAAAAAAAAATATCTGCAGGCAAAAATGTTTAAAGTGTGTGACTTGTGTGCTTTCCAGGGGCTTTTATCGGCAACACCTGCTGCGGGCACACAGGCGGAGGGGCAGGATCGCGCCGGCAGCCTCGAGGCTCCGTCGGCGAAGCGTCTGAAAACTCAGTTCCGCTGTTCAAAGTGCGGTTTCGTCACAGACAGCAGTGCACAGTTTCAGCAGCATATACCTCAGCATAAAAGTGATGAAAACACTCCTCAGTGCCTTCACTGTGGCCTGTGTTTCACATCTGTGCTGTCCCTCAACAGACATCTTTTCATTGTGCACAAAGTCAAAGATACCGAGCAAGAGAAAGAAGAGAAGGAGGCAGGTGTTAGGGAGAAGAAGCAGGAGAAGAAGCAGGATAATCAACAACCAGTTCGATCAGCAGAGGCCGATGAGGTAAATGTCTTGTTACCGGAGCTAAACGCATTTGAGCCCTCGCAGGCAGAAGAGCCAGAAAGTCTTCACGGTACCAAGACCACAGACTGTAATTTAAAACTGAGCTCTCAGACACAAGCAGTCTCCCTCCGGTAGTAAGAGCCACCTCAGCTCCTCTTTAAAGCTGCTTAAATATCTTCAGTTTTCATGTGAAAGCAACAAAGGATGCTTGAAGGTTGTTTTTGTTTGTTTTGTTTTCATTGAGATTCTATATGTTGGCATTGGGGGCGCCTTTAACTTGGACATTTCTGTCACATTATTTAGAGGCAGTGCAGTATATTGAAGCAGATCCATAATATTTCATACAGAACAGTGTTTCCATAGTCATTTTTTATTTAACCTTGCATGTTAATATATTATTCTTGCCTTTCAGACATAACTGCACTCATACTACAGCTGAAATGTTTTGTTTTTTTCCCTTAAATATTCCATCCACCCTGAAATGAGACTCAGGAATGTCTGTTTGTTTTTAAGGTCTGGTATTGATTCATGTCAAAGTGAAGGGGAGGGAGGGGGGATATCTACCTTTGTAATCAATGGTAATTTAAATTGCTTAAATTTTCTTTGAAGTATTTAATGCTACACAGGACCTGAATGGGATTCAGGTTACGATACAAATCTAGAATTTTAGTCACCATTTATCTTCAAGCATACTATAGTTCAATATCCATGCATGTCTTATCCAGATCTGGCCTTTTTTTTATTATTTTTTTTAATTTGATTTTATTTTTTCAGTGTTCGGAGCTAACAGAGAGGTATTACACGTGTGCTGCAGCAGTATTGAAAATACCTCAGATTTCCAGAAGTGTATTTTTTTTTTCCAGCAAGGAACAGTCAACGTTGTGTCAAATCAGGGTACATTGTTTTGGATAATCCAGAACAGATGTGAGAGTCAAAGTTACCAGATCCTGTTTTATAAAGCAGGACCTCCTAACATGAAATCACGTGTAGTAATACTAATGAGATCAGACGACTTTAACGCATGAAATAAATACGTGATGAGTTCAGAAAATGAATAATGTCTTCGATAAAAGATGGATGCTTGTTGTTTGCAGGTTCTGATTTGTGAAGCAGCACTTCTTGTTTTGTATTGACTACATGACAGTTCCTACCTCTATGGTAAATGGCAGTGATTGTTAATATAAAAAAAAAAAGGCTTGGAGAAGTTGCAGTTAATCTCAGTGCAATGTAAAGATTAGTTTATAAAGTATGTCTTATCCCGCTTTATTAAATTTTATAAATTATTTTGGGAATGATATTGAGGCTTTATGGTCATATTGACTTACCTGACAAGTGAACTTTTCTATGAAAGTGCTATTCGAGCTCTTTAAGAATCTGTAAAGTCCTTAAATCAGCTGTCGAACCGCAGAGGCTGAAAGGAGTTACTTGTTCACGATTTGTTCTTTTGTAACGCCTGTCGGAAGATGTTTGTACTTTTGATACTGTGTACTGTGAGCACTTGTATAGGAAAGTAACGTGTACATACAGTAGCCAACGAAAACCTGGATTCACAGCATTTCTTAAGCCATTACATCTGTTCAGCATGCAGTGGCCCACGTGCCTTTGCTTTTATGTTTACGTAAAGTACTTACAAATAAATCGGTGCATTTAATTATATACTTGCTTGGTCTTTTCCTCTTGTGTCATCCACCGGTTTCTCTATTGAATGCTATGTGGATGTGATAATTAACGGGTTTTGCAGTGAGGTCACGCACTTCGCAATCGTCATAGCAAGCCTAATGTGCGTCTTGCATCCAATAAGGGACAACCACCCATGGATGACTTCATCCCATTAGAATATTTAGCCCACCCTGCCTCGCTATAACTGCCTGTGCCCAAAGTAACGGAGGAGCGAGGAGATTCAAATTAACCAGTGCCAAGTTATTTTAACGCATATGGGAGAAATGAAGGGCACCGTGGCAATGATCTGCAAAGGAGGACTGCTGTCGTCTTTCATCCTTATCTCCTACGTTACCATGACAACTTCAATGACTCTCGACTTAACTGAGCTGAGAAACAAAGTTTCAAAGCTGAAGGTGAATCCGAGGGGGAACCTGTGGGCAACAGGTAAGACAATTAAAAATGCACTAAATTGGCAAAAAGATTTCATGATTTTGAACATGTGTTTACGTGGAATGTGTGTGTGTTTTGTTTACAAAGGGCATTTCATGGGCAAGAAAAGTGTTGTGGACGGCTCGTTTATGGAGCCTGGCTTTGAAAATGTAAACGGTCCCACTGAAGGCAGAGATATTAGACCTGTGCACAGAGCCAGAGACCTGCAGGCGCTGCTGGTCCAGATGTTGAAAATTGTCCAGCAAACGGAGCGAGAACAGACACAGGACATGTTAGTTGTTTATTATTGTTGTTGTGTTTATTGCTATTGTTGTGTATATCATTTTTATCATTACTACTAATATTATTATTGTATTTATTATTGTCATTGTGCTTTTTGTTACTATTATTATTGATGTTGTTGTTAGTATTACCACTAATCTTGCTGTTATTAAGCCGTCAGCAGTGCAACTCATTGTATTTTTCTCATTCATTTAGAAAAAGAGGAGATCCTGCCTGAGGAACATTTTAACGGGCAGTTGCTGCATTATACCTGTAACAATATGACACCCTACTGATGAAGAGAAGAGTTTTAATAAACAAAGAACTCTTAAAAAATAATAAGTTTCTGTTTTTTAAATGTGATATGTTACATCATGTTGTGTGATTTTGCTCATTTTCACAGTTTTTTTTTTGCCATTATAGATATTCTAAATATACTCTCTTTTATTTGTAATTAAAAGAGCAAAGAATGTAATGGAAGTGTGTGTTTCATTTGTCATACATGAAATCAAAGTATTTTCACATACAGTTGTCCTCTAATTTATTCATACCCTCCCATTAAAAAAGGGAAAAAATAGCTGTCACTGAAAAAAGTTGAAATTGACAAAAGTAATAATAAATAAAAAGTTAATGAAAATCCTGTTGTGGTTCAACAGAAATATAATAACAAACAAAAACAAGCAATTTGTCCTGGGCAGTTTTTTTTTTTGTTTTGTTTATTTTATTTTATTTTTTTTAATTATTCTTTTCATCCACAATGCAAAAGCAATGTCTTATTTCACTAAATAGTATTTTAGCAAATTTTTATTTATTATTACTCTTTTCAATTTCTAGTTATTTGAGTGACGATTGTGAATTTTGCCTTTTCTTTTTGAGGACGATTATTCATGAAAGTGGAGGGAGGAGTTTTGGCGCCTCCTATTGGTCGGTTTAAAACCGGTTTTAGTTTGTATTTCCGGGTGAAGGTGGCAGCGTGCAGTTCATCACATCTGAGGGTAGTTAATGTGGTAACAAGCCTCAGTTATGCCCCTCGTAGTGGTGTGCGGTTACCCCTGTAGTGGTAAAACACGGAGGGCAGAAGAGCTGAAGGGGTACTTTGAAGAGAGCTCAGAGCGAAAGGTTCATATTGTTGGAGACAAAGCTCTGGACGTGGACAAGAACAGTGTTTACGCAGGCAAGTCAAGCTAGCTACATGCTAATTTAGCTGTTTAATTAATGTTCCTGCTTCTTGCTCCTCCTGGAAAATCTCCTCACATGAATCTAGCCTCGTATTGCTGCATGTGTTGAAGCCACTTAGTGCTGAGGGACCGTCTGCAGACTGAAGCTGGTGCAAAGTGATAACAATAACTCATCTGTTCATGGAAACAGACTTGTTATTTACTCATTTGCTATGCGACGAATTGAAAATACTTCTTGCTGAAGACTCATGAGAGAGTTTCATAAGACACGAAGTATGTGTTTCTTTTTATCTAGGTTTGGGTAAGGGTTAAATTCATGGAAATTTGAACGGAGTTTGGTGTGGGACTGTCTTCAGCACTGTCTTACTATAAATGCTCCCATTACTCACACAGTTAGATTATTGTAAGTTTTCTTGACTTTTCTGTACTATTAACAGCCACTTTCTAGAGAAATTTGTCTCATCAGAGTTTAGGTTTCAGTTCAGTTAAAACTTCTGATGGGTGACAATTTAAAGGAAAAACTTGTCCCCTTCAGAAAGGGAGTCTGGTGGTTCTGTTATGCTGCAATGGTTAGCCCATTATAAGGCTCACTGCAGGTCAATACAAAGTTGTTCTCACTGATCATCTTTCTCCTCAGATTAAATATTATTACTGTGATTGGGAGTGGTCTCCAGGTTGACAATGCCCTCATCCAAATGAGTCAAATGAATCGTAAGCTGTGGCCTTCACAGTTCACCAGATCGCAACCCAATCAAACACCTAAGGGTGGTTTTTGACTGACGTGTTAGCCAGCACTTTCTCCCACCATCTTTAAAACACCAAATGAGGGAATATTTTTTGGAAGGATCGAGTTCATCCCTCCAGCAGAGTTACAGAGACGAGAGAATCAATACCAAAGTGTGGAGCTTGTGACATGTAGTTGCCTAACACCTTCATTTATGTTGGTTTTCTTTTAATTATGATTTGAATATTAAAAATTGTGTCCATGTGTGATAGTAATTTACCTAACTCCAGTGACTTGTAGTACAATAAAATGTGTTTTCATTGTTACACAGCTTCCCATGTTTAGAGAGGTCACGTTCAGTAATTGTTTCATTCTTACAATAACGGCACTGCTGCAAATTTGATACACATCATTGTTTCATTCAGATCTGAGGTGGACAGTGAGATTTCATCGATAGCTTGGCTTCCCTATTAGAGGCACTTCTGTCTACTGAGTACAGCTGTCAAAATACAAGAAGCTCCTTATTTTAATGCCTCATTTTCAGACATCAGTTAGCAAGAACACTGCTTTGAAGCTGATTTCTCCAGTGTAACCATGCACATTCACTGGTCAGACTTTTGCAGTAACTAAACCTTGTTTGATATGTTGCAGATTCCCAAAAAGAAAAGAATGTCAGAGCGTCTCTGAAAGCTGAAGTAGAGAGGTGGGTTATTCATATCCTATTAGGGATTAAACATGACACTACTGTTAGAAACCTTTTAATACTGATTTTGTTTGTTGTTTAGGAAGGTCAACAAGGACGACATCGTTATTTTGGACTCATTAAATTACATAAAAGGTAAATCTTAAGTGTGCTGTGCAGATTTTGTATTAACCTAAAATGATTTACCTCTAACACTGAACTACCTTACACAGGCTACCGCTATGAACTGTTCTGTCTCATCAAACACACACAAACGCCACACTGCCTGGTAAGCATACTGAGGAAAGCACTTATGATTGTATTAAAGAATACAGAAGTTCTCTCTAATATTACTTTCACAACTCAAACCCAGGAATGACATGCTGTCTTTTGATAAAGGTGTACTGTTTGACATCAGGAGAGCAGAGCTCATTGTGGAACAGCAGCAGAGAAGCTGCTGAGCAATACAACCAGGACATGTGAGTGAGAAGCCTCTGCACATACACTATACATGCATATCACTATTGTGTTTTATGCTTTATATGCTTTTTAGTAACTTGCCTTGTGTCCATTTTGTGTTTTCAAGCTTTGATGCATTAGTTCAGAGATTTGAAGCTCCAGACTCCAGGAACAGATGGGACAGTCCTCTCTTCACGATCCTGAAAGACGACACACTTCCATTTGAGGCCATTTCTGATGCACTTTTCAAAAGAAAAGCACCCCCACCGAACCAATCCACTCAGAGTGTAGGCACACTCGCAGATGCTGATGATTATAAGCAAACAGTATTCAGTGTGTGCTATGTCATGATGTCTTTTTGGCTGATTGTAATTGAGATGTTTTTTCTCTCTCTCTCTCTCTCTCTGCAGCAACCGTTGTCATCTGCAAACTTCTTGTACGAGTTGGACAAGATCACACAGGATGTCTTAATGGTAAAAGCACTTTTTCATTCTTTGTTTATTTGTCAGTCATTCATCGGGCTGCACAATCATAAAAAAAAAAAAAAACATAAGATTTCTGTACAATGTTAATTGTGATGTGAAAAAAATACAGGAATTTTCAGTATATGACTTGAATAACTATTTGGAAAGAATCGATATTAAGATAAGATAAATCTTTAATGTCATTGTACAGTCATACTTTTGTGCAATAGCAGAATGAAATCTGCTTTCTCATCCACCATGGTGCTAAAAAAAAGATGTCAATGATGAATTTAACATGATGTACAGTTATGAATATTATATAAAAAATAAGAATAAAGATGATGTACATCATATACAAACAATATATACATAAAAACTATCAAAATATATAGTATTGAAGCATCTGCATCAAAAACAAAAAACATTTTTAAAAAGTTATTTTGAACCTTTCTCATATTGTAAACGCTGCCATAGACATCCAATAGTTTATTTTTTTGCTCTGGGTGGCATTCAGGCGATGCTTTGCTGTCATACAAACCCTTGTGGTCCTGATGTAATCCTCTGAATCCTGAACAGTTTATGATGGTCGCGCTGTTGCGGCATCTCAAAGCAGTTTATAGTCCTGCACTTCTGTGGAAGGTAAAAGTAGAGAGAACTCCATGTGCAGTAGAACAAAGTTGTAATGCTGTAAATCATAAAAAGAGAAACTTATTTTACAAAGCTTTAAAAAAAAAAATCCTGTAGTTATTTTACTACTTGGATTTTCATTTGTTTCCGTACAAGTTCCATGTTTGCTTTGTGTAAATAAAGCCTGCAAAAAGTCCCCAACTTTTAGTCATGTGACTGTTGGTCGTAGCTGAGTTTCTAATGGCTTCATGGTTGTGCTGAGTAGCGTAGAATGTTTGGTTAGTGTGGTTTCTGATGTTCCACCTCATGGGAATGCTTAGTTAGGAATCCCGAGGTCGAATTTTCCTGTCCAGATTATTTGATGGAAATTTCAGGTATGATGGCTGCCTGACGGGTTTTTTCACTCTCCTACTCCGTAAATTTGTCATATGGTTAAGATTATGCTGTAGTAAGCATATATGGGAGGAGCTGTTATTTTGTCTTATGTGTACACATGTATGTGCTATTTTTTTATTTTTTGAGACTCTGGGTAGTCTTGAAGGGGGCAAATATGTGGTATCTGATGTTCCACCTCATGGGAATGTTTAGTTAGGACTCCCTAGGTGCTGCAGGAAAGGTGCCTCTTTGTTTAGAAGACTGGGCTGCCTTCAGGGTATGAACCATATATTTTGTCTTAGTGTAGGTAAACAACCCCCTTATCAAAGCCAGTAGTTAAGGTTATTCTGGAGGGTGATTCTTTTTGGCTTCCTCTCACAGGCAAACCATGGTGTCTGAGATACTGCGTTTGTTGCAATAAACCTTTTTATATACCAACAAGATGGTATCAGCGGAGAATTTCTTCATCACCTTCACATCATCGCTGCTCAATAAACAACATTATCCACAGAATCTGGACTAAATTAATATTTTTGGCAAATTTTTAACACAAGACATGTATAATGGTGCGATTAAATATCACAGAAGCCACATTCCCAGATGAGTAGTTCATGGGTTGTGGCAAAGTTCAATATCCAATGATTCTCTCTGTTTTTACGTGCAACATGGTGTAAACTAAATTGCTTTCACTTCACCATCCATGTTGTAATTATGACTGAGAAGCTCTGACTCAGCTGAAAACTCTGATATACTTGAAACTGACGTGGACATGGACATCCCATGACCCTCATAGTCAATTGTTTAAGGTAACTGAAAACCTCCCCTTGAGTGCACTCGTTGGTTAGTTTGTTCCTTTTCCAGCCATTGCACTGGAGCAATTTTGGAAAATTAGAGAAGCAGGTGCTTCTGCAATTATGATTCATCAGTTCCTTTAATTTGCGACCAACAGATCCCAATTTGCTGATCTTGTACCTCGGAAGCTGCATTTGTCTTCGTCAGCCTTATCTTCTCTGTGATGCAAGTAAATCTTTTTTTTATTTTTCAGGCAATTTTTAACGCACAGAAGACAAGTGTTCCAGGAGATCTTATCCAGGTTCCAGGAGCTACAGAGAAGATATCCTTTTTATGTACATTCTTTTATTGATCTTTTCACATTAAACAGATAAGAATCAGCTTTTCTGGCCAAGTTTATGTTCACATACAAGGATTTTTTTCTTTGCCCTCAAAGTCCTTGTACAAAAGACATATGCATTTAAACAAGGGCAACAGGTAGCAGAAAGGAAAGTAAGGGTTTAACTACTTTATACAGCTATAGTTGTGTAAAAGAACATGTTTAATTACATTTTTTAAACATGCAGACTTTGGTAGTTGTGTTGTTCTGTAACGTCAGAAGTCCAGGTAGCCGTGACGTGTCACCGTTAGCGACTACTCCGTATCACCTCTGTTAAATTCTGTGGAGCAATTTTCATCCTCTCCCTCCTGAGCAAAGTCACATTTCCTTACCAGTGGGAGGAAAAGTCCTCTATATGAAAGGCTTGTTAGAAGGGGAAGGTGGATGAATACGTGTCCATTAAAAGACTTCAATGAAAGGTTCATCAGCTAAGCAGCGGTAAAGGTCTGGCCTTTAATGACATGCTGTGCGATGTGTATGGTGGAGAGAGACCAAATTGCATAGATTAGTGGATTTTTATTGGCAGCTGCACAGTGCTGCACCTTCTCAGAAGCGAGCACTTTGATTTTTCTCTTTTGAACATGTTGGTACAAGCAGAACCTATCTTGAAAGCACATTAGGTTCTGTGCTGGTCAATCTTTAATGATGACCGCATAATTGGAATTCGGAATGACGTCAGTAACAGTCAGTGCTTGGTGTTGTTCTATTGTGTCGTCCTCCTTGAAGGTTGATGCCGTGACTTTGAAACACCTTTGGTGAGTTATCGCTTCCAAAATGCAGCAACTTTTCTGACTCCCTGTGCAAAAAAAACGGCTTCATGTCCTTAACCTGATGTTAAACGTGGAGCTCACCAGGAGCATCAACATGGCAGAGCTGCGGAAACTACGGCGCCAGTTCATCAGCTACACCAAGATGCACCCGACGGAGAACACGGGACAGATTGCCAACATGTTTGTTCAGTATTTAAATAAGAGTCTTCACTGAGATTTTATAGCATTGGTTTCTGTTTTTATTTTCTGTGACAAATAAATATATTTAAATATACGTTGCTTGTTTTTGTGTTGGTAGCCATTTAACCTAACCTCGCCAAAGCTTTCACTAACATTGTATGGCCTTCGTCAGCCAGTAGATTTCCTCACTTGTGGAAATAAAATGGCTAGTAAGGACATTTTCTGTCAAGTTGCACCTTCCATGGTCAAGAATGATCCTTCATGATCATCTTAAGACATATTTATATGCTAAATATCAATCCTGGCCTCCATGTGTATATTTAATATTCCCAGATTTTTTGCTGATGTCATCGTTTGAAATGAGTTCCAGGTTCATGTCAGCGTCCAGTCGGAGCTCAGCGCTCTGAGGCAAGGGTTAGCCTTAATTCGCTGTGTTTTTGTACCTGATCGTTGTGTGACTAGCTTAGCAAACAGTATGTTTTTTGTTCAGAAGCTCCATGTTCTTTCGTGGAATCTGTAAGCCACTTGTTGCTGACTAAAGCTCCTGCAAAGACCTTGTATTATGTAAGAATGACTGCCAGAACACCAAGAGCAGGAAGTTGTTCACAGGAATTATAGTTTGCTTTGCTTGCAAGTTCATGAAGCAAAAATACAGACGCAGCAATTCATTGATTTTAATATTGGGAAATAAACATTTGTTCCAACGTGTAACATCCCTGCAATAGAATGAATGTCGTGAAACAACCAAAAACACAATATATAGGATAATGGGCAGGTGGAGAGTGGTATTATTACCAGAAATCACAACTCAGTATAATCTTGTCCCACACATCCTGAAGGACTTGGTGAAGTTGATGGACATTTAGGGAGACAGGATCACGTTGTAGGACATCCGGAGCATCATGTGACAGATTCTTGTCATCTATCATCTACCTAAAACTATTTCTTAGATCAGTGGTTCTTAAACTTTTTTAACAAAGCCCCAAAGATAACATAAGTTTGTGTTTGTGAACCTCCAGGTAGAATTTTTAATCTGGCATGAGCAATAACTTTGTTGTTCATGCATTAATGCGCTATAAATAAATGTGTTAATTCCACAGATTAATTTCCTTACATTCACACTTTAATTTTCTTTTGAATGAATGAATGAATTGAATTTATTTCGAACACATGAAAGGAAAAAATATATAAAAACAAAAGAAAATATGTTTTTTTAAAAAAGAGTATAAAAAAGAGCAAAAAAAGAATAATAATAATATCAAATCATGATATTAACAAGTTCAAAAAAGAAGTGGGAGGAAGTATACAGTTTTAATTTGACAGCTCTAATAAAAATGTATTTGATAAATGTAGGCTTTTTTAATTTTTAAAATTTTTTTACAATGATCTGATGACCCCCAGAAATTATCTTGAGACCCCCAGTTTGAAAACCACTGTCTTAGATGGCAAATGGTCTTGTTACAGCCTTAACTGATATTCCAACATGCCAACAACCTGTTGGCACGTTTCTCTTATCATCTCTCTCATTGAGTCACATAAATAAACCTGCATTTTAAGGTGATCTTTTATAGTTCTTGGTCAAAGGAGTGTCTACTCACGCTATCTGATCATTGTTCTTTACAGCCACACCTGACTAGATTGTGGATTATCTTAGTGGTTGAGAATTGGAAGACCGTTTCCTTATTGCATTTCTATTTTTGTTCAGTGTATAAAATGAACGTGACTGCATTGGAATGTCAAATGGGAAGTGAAAATGTGCACATATATCAGATCTATTTTTCCATTAAACAACAGAAACACTGCCAGATTCTTTGTAAACATGACTTTTATTGAAAAAATACACATTTCTACTAACATTGTTAATACGTTTAAAAAGCTGCCAAAAAAAAAAACACCAGCAGGGAGGCAGAAAGTGAAAAATAAGGAACTTAACAAAAGGCAAAGAACATGACAGAGCAAAGAACAATGTGGCAAACTCACAAAAAAAGAGCAAAAAATTATCTTTTTATCATTTTTTTCTTCAATGGGACAGCGGTGCCAAAAATTCTGTCCCAGTGGCTGAAGAAAGGAGCAAAGTTAGTGTTTGGCTTCTGGTGGTGCATGTCGTGAGCTGGTGCACCACCCAGCAGACCAAAAGGCACCAGGTGGTTGAGGGTCCACGGCAGGTCATAGCCTATGTGGTCCTCTACGGACATCCAGAGACTGAAAATGGTGACGGACCACGTGGTCAGCGGGTGGCATCTTAAAATAATCGGGTCCTGATTGCTCCAGAGTCCCACCGTCATCAGTTCTGGGATGCTGAGGTGCTCGGTCGACCAGGAGAAAGGTGCGATGTATTCATGGTGTATCGCGTGAATCCAGCGGTAAAGCTGCGGGTGCTTGTGATGTGCGAAATGCCAAATAAAATACTGAGTGTCAAATAGGAGGAGTGCAGCCAGTCCGTCGATACAAAGCTCATACAGCGTTGGAGCCTGTGGGGGCAGTGGTGGTGGACTCATGAAGAACATGCTTATGATTACAGCAGGCAGAACAAAGAAGATGTGGTTGTACATTGCTGTGGAGAAGCTCCGAGCCATCATTCCCAGTGTTGGCTTCCTGTCTGCTTGGATCTTGTACTGGTGGAACAAAGGCACCCTTTCCCCCAAGACGTCCAGTATAGCAAAGGGTATACTGAAGAAGGTGTAGCTGGAAAAGGCGAGCAGGACGGGGAAAAAAGGAGACGACATGAGAGGCCGGTAGTGAAGAAGTAAATAATCCCAGAACGGCTGCAGGAGACGGTCCGAGGCCCTGGAGGGCAGGAACTGAAGAGGCTGCTCACTGACGTTCAACATCTCTGCGGTGCTGAAGGCTGCTGCTGCTGCTGCTGCTGCAAGTCTTAGAGTTGAGACAAAGTTCTGCCTTATATAGTGGAGTTTAACTAAAGGGGCTTTGCTCTCAATGAGACTAGCAGCTTTTTTTTTTTTTCTTTCTTCCAGCAGGTCAACGTCTACAAACACACTAACAAGAAGATTAAGAAAACCCTTTGAGAACATACATTACATACAAGCTTTGGACTGGAACGTTTATCCACCCCCCCAGTGAAGTCATATTTTTTTATGAATGCAAAGGAGGACAGAAACATTTTTATCAATGAAATTGTATTTCCTAACCTGAGTTGCAGAATTGTTTTGCAGAAATTTCATCAATCCATCCATCATCTATACACCGCTTAATCCTCACGAGGGTCTCGGGGGAGGGGGGGCTGGAGTCTATCCCAGCCGACTTAGGGCGAAGGTTGGGGACACCCTGGACAGGTCGTCGCCAGTCTATCACAGGGCTACACTTGCAGACAATCATGCACACGCACATTCACACCTACGGACTATTTAGAATCACCAATTAACCTCAACATTTTTTTGGACTTGTGGGAGGAAGCCAGAGAACCCGGAGAGAACCCACGCTGCACGGGGAGAACATGCAAACTCCGCAGAAATTTCAGTGTTATGAAATTGTTCACGTAGCATGTCATTACAGCTTCAGAAAATTATCAGACGCTTTTTGTTACACCACATTTTTCAATAGAAGGATTTAGGTATGTTGTGCTGATGCTTGAGAAAACGATCAGACATGACTCTGCACTTTGTATTTTCAGTCACACATTCAGTGTTTCCCTTTTTTTCTGCACTGTGAATTCCCATATCATAAGAGGATTACCCAGTTGGACCACATGAACCTAACAGATTACCGCTGAATGCATAATCTGTGAAAAGTGATCAAATGACCTGCATGTATGTCTCCTTCACACATTGTGTCTGTCACACAATAACAACTTAAACAGTCACGCCTGATGTAACTGCAGATTAAACAGTTTTGTAAAATGACCCAGAGAAAGTGAAAAAATCCCCCTATTTAATCCCCATCAAGTCCTCAGACTGTTAATATCAGGACACAATATAAACACCTCTCACACCGTTTGATCATAACAACATGATTTATTGTGAAAAATGTATAATTTCATTGAAATCTTGATTTGATTTGTGTATCATATCATCTGTTCACAAATTAAGGCAACAAGGCTCTTTTTCACCAACTACTTCTTTTCACTGGTTGCTTTCCTGGAAACCGTTTTGTTGGTGTTGGCATATTTTTGACGATCATTTCTGAGGAGAAAGGAAAACAAACTCTTTTACCACTGAAAAAAATGGCAATATTTTTTCACAAATAAAATATTTCTACCACTACAACGAAATGTTGGACCTTAGATAGACATACTTGCTCATTTTGACTTTGTTTCTGCATCCCAGTCCTCCCTCCCAGTGGCTGGTCCTCGTGCCTCTCGTCATCATGCTCCCGCAGCTGACACAAGGCTTTCCGTTGCCGTACGGCTGCAACGGCAAACACGATGTGGATTACATTCAAAAACTGTTGAGATACCAAGTGATGTGAATGATGACTCAGATGCAAAGTCTGCCTTATGCATTTATTCTTCCAGTGCAAGCAGAATTAATATTTGATGAATAAATCAAGAATATGCAACTCTAATACAGCCCATCTACTTTTCTCAGTTTTGTTTTGATTATTAAATATTTTTCCTGTCAAGATCTTCAGTCAACATGCAGCCCTTCTGTACTTTATGTAAAAAACGACAAGGTAAGGGAAGATGTGCAACAAGTTTCACATGTTTACTACTGTAAATAATGGAGGTAAATCATATCGCTTACAATAAAATGTAGAAGTGAAATGCGTAAGTCTTGGCTGACAGAATTTGACTCTATAAACTTAGCTGAAACCTTTTCACTCTGTTTGTGGCGATCAAGGCTACTACACTTTCAATGAGCCAGCCGTAAGCCTTATAAAGTTACAAGTGCTGTACGACCTCCACACCTAAAACTTTATGCAGATATATACTTCACCTGTTCTTTGGCACAGTAACCACAAAGCATCCTGGTGGCGAGTTCCATGGGGTGATCCTGGTTCTCATCATGGCACACATCACAGGGGTAGGTCCGGCCGCAGCAGGGAAACCTGAGAACACGGGTACAACGTTATTACCTACGTCTGCAAATGTATCTTTCAAAGTTCCACTATCAGACACATTAAACTAAATCACAGCGAGGATGATACCTTAGCCAACGATGGCTCTGTTTGTAATGTTTGCATGTTCCCTTTTCCGGCAGTGGCTTCCCCTTTTGCACAGCAGGATCTCTTATCGTCTTGTAACGTACTTCAGTGGAACCTTCAAAAGCAAAGCAAGTTAAGCACAATAAACAGTAAGTGTGTATTTCTATAAATGCTCATACTTTTTATGTATTGTGTAGCTCTTTAAGAAGTGTGATGTCAGACTGGTCAGAGAGCTAAATGTGGTAGTTTGTTGTTTTAGGATTTTAAAAGGTGAGTAGGATCCAGATGTTGAACATAGCATTTATAATTCTGTTTTTATTCGTGTATTATCACCTGGAACTATACATCGTTGTGTTTTCGGCAGCTAAGAATAAGCAGTTCATATCTACATAGGAAGTCTGCCATGTTGCACTGCCATGTTCCTACAGCAGCCCAGATTTGACAACCTAAACACAGGCTTCAGAGAAGGTCTGTTGGATGTTTTCATTGGAGTGGCAGCCGCTGTAATTACTCCTACACACTTGACAAGGGAATTCAGTTGATTTTAATCTGCAACCTCACTGCTAGATCCCACTAAATCCCACACAGTGCACCTTAAAACCTTCGCTGATCCCTTTTATTGTAAATGTAGGTGAGCTCTGACCTGTTTTGTTGGTACGAGGCGGGATGTACTGAAATCTTGTGCTCTCAGCCAGGATGCTGAGTTTGCTGTGGCAGTGTTCACAATTAAACTCCTTTGTTTGTCCATACAAAAGGTTCTAAAGAAAAGTAAAGACGGTAAAGCTATTTCAGAGACTGTCAGAGCTCATCAGGACATGTTTTCTTTGATGATATTTCACAATGTTGATGTTGTTGTATTGTGTTAAGCAGGGCGTGTTTAATCACCTGCACAGGGCCCTCCTGGGAGCAGGTCAGGCAGCCCACGGTGAGTTCACAGTCCTGAAGTACGAGGTCAGACGGTGCAGCGTTGTGGAGGTCCAAGTATCCCAGGACGTCACTGTAATGGTGAAGCATGCAGGGCCTGAATGCAGCATTTATGCTTGCATTACACTTATCGCACTGAGCTGCACAGGGAGTCCTTCCGTTGAGTGTCAGGTCTGCAGTTACCTTACACCTGCAGGCAGCACATATAGAGAACAGAGTCAGGTTTACAACTGAGGATCAGATCTCACTCTGCTCCAGTTATTGTGTGTTTGTGTATTTTCCTTGCCTGTTACACTGAAGGCAAACGGTGATCTGCTGGGCAGCCACAGTGGCAGTGTTGTCTCCCAGTCTCAGGCCCAGCAGCTTCACCTCTGTGCCTCTGCGTGGATCACTGATCTTAATGTTCTCCACCAGATGACTTGCTTCGTCCTGCTGCAGTCCGTCTTCAAAGCCTGGACTCTCCTCCTGCACTAACTTCTCACCTTCTGTATTCTCAGTTTCTCCCACATTACCGGTATCCTCTTCTGCATCAGCAGCAGCAACGTCAGAGGCAGACCTTTCACTCGCTGTTGCCTGCAGCTCCTGATATGTTATAAACTGCAGTCCAGCTTTTTCGATGTCGATGTCTTTTTTCAACTGTAAAGAATACACATATTGTTCACTTTTTTTTTTTTTGCTATACACAGGTACTTTCTGTATATTTAACTGGGATATGATTCACAATCATCTGCTGTTCGCGGAGGTTGTAGTCTAACCTGTCTGGCTCCTTCGGTGAACAGTCTCTCCAAGCTGCGATCAAGCCAGCGAAGAAAAGGCCGGAAAAGCAGCTCCACCTTTCCCAGAAGCTGGTTTGTTGCATGTTTAGCTTGAAGCCACTCCAACGACGCTTGCTGTACATGCCTATGTAGACGAAGATATGTAGAAATAACGGTAAGTGCTGTACGTACAGATGGCAAAAAACATTACATGTTACAATGAAATCGCAAATGCATTTACTTTGACATTGCTGGTGGCAGATCCTGGTCCAGCGGTATGTCCAATGTAAAAATCTGAGGAAAACGTATCACGGTTGTAAGCAACTGCGATTTCAATGTCATGCATTTGTATTATAGTATATTAAATAAACTTGAGAGAAGCAGCGGTCTTTACCTCTTGGGGATAATTATCCGGGAAGCTCACCATGATATCGATTTCTTTCAGATCAAAAGGCTGCAAGGTAAAATGCAAAGTTAACACATTTAAAGATAATCATGTAAAGCAGTTTTCATCTACACCTTTGTGACCTACTTTCAAGTAAAAACATGCCAAATTGTTTTCTGTGCTGATTAAGTGGATTAATAGTTCCGGCGTGGCATTGCATAACCTGTCAGTCAAATATTTGGCCATGACTGACCTCATACCATTTAATTGTTTGAAATTAGATTTAAAAGCCAGATTTTAGGTAACGCTTTACCCAATTTCTCTTGTAAAAAATGGGCTTAATTCAGTCTCAGTGGTGCAGCTTAACTGTTACAAATCCTGCATTACCTTGTACTCATTAAAAATAGCACATTCAAACTCAAATGACCTCAGGTGCTATCAAAGCGTTATAGGAACAGTTATTATTTATCGTCTATCAAAACATCACTTCAGAATTTATCCCTAAATACCATCACAAGCTTTGCTCTGTATTGATAAGCACAGGAGAGATTGATTCAAGCTCACAAATTAAATCTGAGCTGTGCTGTGTTACATAACTGATATGTGGGTGGATTTGTCTGCTGAATTCTCAAGAACTGCAGGGAGAGAGACGGTAGAAAGAAGTGTTTTACCCAGTCTGGATCAGTAGCCTCTACAGTCGCCCTGTAATATGTCAGTTTGCCATCGCTTCGTTCCTGAATGATCAGCTGGTCTTTAGGAAAGCGCTTCTTCATCTGTGTGATCTCAGTATCTCGTAGCTGCTTGGCAACGTCCTCTGTCATGTCACCCAACTTCACCTCCTGGAGGGCACCGGGGCGGGATACAGGTCGGATCCTCTGTGGGGCTCTTGTGTGATTGCCAGGAACAGGCTGGTCATTCAGTGAAAGTAACTGCGGTGGATGCCAGAAACGACATCTGTCCTCCATGCTGCAGTGACCTGCCATAAAGTAGCGACAGGGGCGATGGGAAGCTGCTGGGGCAAATCTGGAGTTACTGGTGGGAGACTGCCTGTGGCCCACATCTTCAGCAGGGGCTGGTAAGTTTAAAGGCACGAGATCGGTCAGGCTCACAGTTGTCTTCTCATGAGCTCTGGTGTCTTCTCTTACGTGCAGAAATTTACATCTCTTCCCATAACTGCAGTGTCTGCCTTGAGAGTAGAAGCGGCACAGTGGTTGAGGAACTGGCTCTGATTCACCTTCATTCATCTTCTCTCCCTCATCATTCTCCATTGTTATTGACACCTGAATGAATGAATACAGTACCAATGAGACATCTTGCAGAGTCATAGAGCAGTATCTGCTTTATTACTAATACATTAACATTTATAGACATTGTTCTATTGAAGCAGACAATCTAATAATTTAAAACAGTAGTTCCCAACATTTTTTATCTTGCAGCTCCGTATCAGAAGGTGGAGTCATGAGCAGTTCCAAATCAAAGAGTGATTTTCCTTGCCTGAATTTTTAATTTGAAGGATTTTTAGTGGAAGAGTAAGAAAAACTATATATTACATAAGAACTTAAAAGCAAAATCTAAAAACTACATATAATTTCGTGTAGTAGTATCTGGTGACCACTGCTTTTTTTCTTGAGACCCTTTGAGTTGTCCTAACTCCCGAGTCAAGATTGTGTGTGGGCAGGCGTGTCCATATGTCTTCAGGTATGTTGCATAAACAATGCATCATCCTTTAAAAACAAAATAAGTGAATTTGGACTCGTGTTTCATTCATACTTTGATTAGATGCTAAACTAATCATTTCTGGTCTGTGACATTAGAGTGTGTATATATTTTAGCAGACTACGAAAAGTTATGAATATCTTTAAATCCTATCCAGACGTTTCCTCAAAAACACAAATGCTACAGAAAGCCTCCCATATTAGCCTCTCTCCATTGGCTCCCTGCAAAATTCTGAATAGCGTTTAAAAATCTTTTCAAACATACAACGCCCACAATGACTAAGCGTAATGACTAATCGTATCCTAAAGACCTCATATTATCCCCACCAGAGCACCTTTCTCTCACAGGTTTACTAGGAATTCCAAGAGTTCCCACAAGCAGAATGGGAGCCACTAGCTCTCAATTACTTCTCCTGTGACTCCAAATCCTGGTTTGGGAGGCAGACCCCCCCTTACTTTTAGGGTTAAGCTTTAAATTTTACTTTGTAATAAAGCTTAGTTAAGGCTGGCTCAAATGACCTTCAACTATCTCATAGTTATGCTGCTGTAGGCCAAGACTGCTGGCTGGCTTCCCATTATGCACTGAGCACCTCTTCTCTACTCTCACCTGTTTCACTCATGTCACCTTTGCAAGCCATTACTTTGTTTGTTCTCTCTCCAGCAGTTTGTGTTATGTCCACTCTGCAGGCATCTCTCGCTGTGGAGCTACATATTTCTAATCTGCTTTTACTATCCTTACCAGCCTCCCCAGTGTTTACTGTGTCCCTGTGCAATGTCACTGTTTCTTTCTTCAATCTTTTTCTCTCTTCCCCTTGATCCCCCCCCTTTGGATGTCCTCTGTAAGCCAGGTTCTGCCAGAGGTCTTTGCTACCAGGGAATGTTTTCTACCTATTGCTGAGCATTGGTGGACTTCTTAAGAACTTCTTTATGTTATAATACTATGGAGGTGTTCTCCTTCCGATGTGAAGTGTCCAGAGATGACTTATGTTATAGATAAGATAAGATATGCCTCTATTGTCCTCACAGTGGTGAAATTCACAGTGTTGTCAGCAGCAGTACACACACAGATACACACACACAGGAGACAGGAAAAAAATACATATGAAAAACAGTGCAAACGTAAGTATACAAATACACATATAAAAAGAATATTGCGAGCACAAAGTACAAAAATGCACATTAAATAAAAACAGTGCAAGTCCCAATATAAAAGAACAACAATAACGACAATAAACACTGTAAATGCAGTGAGCTGATGGACTCTACAAATGTACAATAATTAACCACAACAGCAAACTGCCAGATGGCATGACTTGTAAGTTTTTTACCCTTCACCATCCATGGTTGGTTTATTATTTTATGGGGGGCGTGACAACCATGTACATCACTGTGATGTTCATATTTTATTATCAGAATCAGAATCATATTTAACATATATTTTATTTTAGAAACTGATCTTAAACTGATTTTATCTGTATTGAGTTTACAAGTTTTATCCTTATTTCGATCCTGCTTTTTTTGCACATGCTTTTGTTATTGCCCATTTTATATCATGAACATATTTTTCAACTCAGATTTTGACATTGAGCTATGGGTAATTTGCTCAGAGATGTCTGCAGACATGCATGTTCACAGAAAGGGAACCAAATGTGCGCATCAGAGGACTCATGACAGCCCAAAACCTCATGCACTGCAGCGGGAACGCGCCTCGAGGGCAAAGTAACATTAAAGTCTATCAGATGGACTTACACCCGTTTTATTACTCTACATGAATGGTGTATGTGAAACGTACGCAAGAACAAATCTATGTTTTCATTTTAATTCTTACACCTCGCCTAACTGTCCATTTATCACCGGTACAAACTACAGTTGTATTCAGTTATCATGAAGCGGTGTGGTATTTTGATTTGCTATAGACTAGTCATGTAGTCAAATAAGGAAAGACGGACGTTAGCTGTAAACTTAGCTAAGTTAGCTAAACTTTACGTACAGTCAGCGAATTATAGTTAATGTCAGTCACGTAAATCAGCTCAAATGGGTTGTTGTGAAAATATGACATTACCTGGAATACCCGCCGAGGTCCGCGGAAAGGTTTTCTCCGTGTAGAGACAGAACCACAAGCGACAAGACGCCCTGAATAACCGTTGAAGATGGCCTTAATTGCCCCCTATCGAGTGACTATAAAAACGTCTGCGCAATGCTAAACAACCGCGCAGCGATATTACGTCATCACATGCGACGAAAAGCCATCAGTGTCCTCCATCCGGATTCCTACAGGTTCATCAGAGCTGCAGATTAAAGGCTGGAGGCTGATTCCTGCTCACCTGAACCTCTGCAGCTCATCACAGGAAGGAAATGTGATGATTGAGGCCGAAGTCAGAGAAGGAGAGCGACTGTCAAGGAGGCTGCAGCAACATCTGTCTGTTCAGGTTACTGCAAAACATCTGGAAGGCTTCATACAGCTTCATGAACATCTGTGTCTCTTTGAGGTCATTTTGTGTCTCTGAGGCCATTTTTTCCCCTTTTGTTGTTGTTTTGTGTCTCTTGGTTGTTCCCTGTGTGTTTGTGGTGGTTTTGTGTCTCTTATGATCGCTTTTTGTCTGTATTTTGTGTGTGTGTGTGTGTATCTGCAGGTGTCATTGCATTTCTGACATTCACAGATCTCTATAAATCCGTCAAACTAACCTGTGTGTTGAAAAATGACTCTAAATGACCCTAAAGGACGCTGACTAAGTGAGACTGTGCATTAAAAAAATAAAAAGGATTTAATTTATTCCCTTTAAACCTTTATGGGATTATGTTCATGAAGCTGTACGAAGCCTTCCAGATGTTTTGCAGTAACCTGAACAGACAGATGTTGCTGCAGCCTCCTTGACAGTCGCTGTCCTTCTCTGACTTCGGCCTCAGTCATCACATTTCCTTCCTGTGATGAGCTGCAGAGGTTCAGGTGAGCAGGAATCAGCCTCCAGCCTTTAATCTGCAGCTCTGATGAACCTGGGTAACAATCAGCTCCGTGATCTAAACAAACAATTCTGCCGTGCTGGAGGGTTGTGGAAGTTTTTGTCACAGGCTGTCAAAAGGTGTTCTGTTGTACACTGGATAGAATTAAGTTTAGTCGCCCTCTGCAGTCTGGGAGGTTCAGTCCTGCACTTGGAAATAAGCAGCTGCTCTGGAGCTTAAGGCATAATAAACATATTACTATAGATTTATGTTCTTGTGAGCAGTTAAAAGACTCACTGTGCATATTGACCTAAAAGCTGAATTCCAAAAGTTCTTTGCTGACCTGGGAAAATAGTAACACCACAAGCCCCAATTAGTAGCTGTATAAAACTTTTGAACACAAGATTATAACATGGAAACAACTTAACCTTGTATTCTGCTCAAGGAAAACTACCAGCAAAAGTCCTTTGTTGTTTGCTTCTTTGTGTGAGATTGTTTTTTTTAGGACTTCTTTCCATTTTGCCCAGTGCATCTATCGTTGGTCTACTGTAAAACCTCTGACATCTCAATTCTTAACAATTTCTTTGAAGTTTTTTTAAGAGACAGATTAGAATTTCTATAAATATAATATAAAAATATAAATTCAGCATCGAATAATCTATTAAATTAAATCCAGTCTTTTCAACAGTGGAATAAGTTTTTGTTGTTCTTACCTTAGGTATCTGTACAACACAATGGACATCATGAACAAATAAATCATCAATAAAAAAGTATTCTATTCTATTCTATTCTGGGAAATGGTGAATAATGAACGGATTGAGAGTGGCGTCACAGACCAGAAATCATAAGTCCGTAACAAATCACACATCTGTGGTGTTTACAGTTAGTGAGGTTGTTGGTGCTGACTTGTACAATGTTGTCCAGCTCTTCCTGAAGGACTTGTTGAAGTTGGTGGACATGTTTGGAGACAAGATCACATTGTCAGACACGTCCATCAAAAGCATCATGTGGCAGATTGTCGTAGCACGATGTCTGAAACAATTTCTAACATGACGAATGGTGTCGATATGGACGTTTAAATGCCTGGCTTTGGCCCTATATAACATTACAACATCCAGCAGGCCAACAGGCCATTCTCAACTTCCTCTTGACATCTGTGGCATCATGTCATGACCTTTTGTAGTCACTGGTCCAAGGAGTGTCTGTGTTGTGGTCACGCTATCTGATTATCATCCTTTAATGTCACATCTGATTAGATTGTGAATTAACTCAGTGGCTGAGAATTTCCCACCAGCTGAAGAGCTTTACAACTGTCGAAACATCACAAAAGAAATTAGATTTGAACTTTTCCCTCAGGCAGAAAAGAAGACCATTTGCATGTTGTGTTCATATTCTTATACAGTGCAGTTTGATATGTTTTCCACTAAATACTGTGCAGAATGCATGCTTGTTTTTCTGTAAAACAGACCTTTTTATTTCTATATTTATTGACTGAGAGACCTGTGCAAGAGTTCTGACATATTGTCTGTGCATTTGTGAAAATGTTCAGTTTAACTCACTTGAACAGAGACAGAGCACTAGTAGGATGATAAATGATGTTAAAATAGTTCAAATAACTACAGTTTATCTCATGGACAGCTATAGGTTACCAGTTACCCGGACTGTATGAATAATTTGTTGCACTTGCCTGTCACTTGATACCATACAGAGACCAAAGCACAAGCAGACACTCACGGGATAAAGTGCTGTTTTTGGCTGAAGCACCGACATTCCTCAGACAGCCCTTGCGGTTTTTGCTCCAGGATGGATCTTGCAGATACTCGTGCTTGGATCACTTGGTTTGGAAATAACTCTTTGCTGCAACCTCTATGGGACAATCTGAGGCTCAACTACAGGGACTATTTGAGATCTCCACTTTTCCCCATTGTGCTGACCGTCTCTTCCTACTTTATCATCTGCCTTCCTTATCTTGTTTGTGACATCATGGGGGACAGGTGGGCATGGGTCCAGCAATTCAAGATACAACCAACCCGCAAACCGACAGCCTCTACACTGCTGCACTGTGCGAGTGTCACCTTGTACAACCATGTGTTTCTTGTGTTCCCCGCATCTGTGGCTCAGTGGGCCTGGAGGCCACCTGTGGACCTGCCGGAACAAGCGCCGGCCCTGCTGGAGCTGATCACTGGGGTGATAGGCAACCTCCTGCTGTTTGACTTCCAGTACTTCATTTGGCATCTGCTTCACCACAGGATCCGCTGGTTGTATGTCACCTTCCATGCCATCCACCATAATTACTCGTCTCCTTTTGCTCTTGCCACTCAGTGTCTTGGCGGCTGGGAGCTGGTCACAGTGGGCTTTTGGACCACGCTGAATCCTATGATCCTGAGATCTCATCTTCTCACCACGTGGGCCTTCATGGTATTGCATGTGTACGTTTCTATAGAGGATCACTGTGGCTATGATTTTCCCTGGTCCACGTCACGCGTGATACCGTTTGGCATTTACGGAGGGCCCAGCAAACACGACGTGCACCATCAGAAACCCAACACCAACTTTGCACCGCACTTCAGTCACTGGGACAAAATATTTGGCACACATGCTGATTTCAGCTTCTGTACTACAGTGAAATAGGCTGTTACACAATTGACAGCAGCTACATAGAAAATTAATGTGTCTGTTCTGTTTCTTTCCAATTATGTGAGTATAAAGGTATTAAGGAATGGAAGCAGATGAGAAATGTACATTTTCCTTAAGTGCAAATGGAGGGAGGATATTGCCAGCACTCGGCTAAGACTTTCCTGTAACTTTGAGAACAATTTCTTAATTCTGCTTATGAAATCATTGTTTTTTTTTTTTAAACCATGTGTACCATATAAATAAGTGACATAAATCCATCTGCCTCATACTGTATTTGGCGTCTTACCTTTGAAACAGCTTTAGAAATGACTTACTATATTCCTCCTCAGACAAATGCATGTATTTTCAGGCCCAGAGACAAAATCATTCGTTTAATCACTGTAAATATTCCCAGCAAGAATGTCACTGTATGCATTTAATAAAGCTATATGTATAAATCGCAACTAATACACATATTGTTGTATTTAGTGACTGATGACTCCAGATAATTAAGCTTTGCTTCTTTTTGTGCAGCAATAAATTATGCTTCCTGAAATCTGGAATCCTATGTTGTCTCTTGTGTTTTTCAGGTCGTGTAATCTAAACAGTAATCCCACACTGGCATTGATACTTAAAATGTTTTATGTATGAAAGACAAGTAGGTGAAAATGTAACTTTATATTGTGTCACTAGATGTCAGCAAAGCAGTCCCATGAGCATCCTGATGAGCAGCATGTGTCTGCAGCAGAGGGGGTTGCATTTTCAGGACCACAGTTTTAGGACCACATTTCTAACACTTTGCTTTTTTTTCTTCACTATATCTTATTTTAGGCTTGATAAAAATAACTAGTTGTTGATGTAGAAAGGGACCTTGATCTCTACCCCACACTGGTTAAAAAAAGGACTATGTACATTTTTGGTTGGATTAAACTTTTAAATCCTGAATTTATTGGTAAGAAAGTACTATTTGGATGGAATAAACTTTTAAAACTACAAGTGCTCAAACAGATGGGAGCATTTTGGTTGGACTGAACCTTTAAAACCATATCTTGTTCGTTAGAAAGTACTATTTGGGTAAACTAACCATTAACATTTAAGCACTATAAGCACTTGGACAGAAAGTACTATAC